TTTTTTGAGACAAGGTCTCTCTTTGTTGCCCAGGCTGGAGTGCAGTGGCACGTGCTCTCTGTTCACTGCAGCTTTGACCTCCTGGGCTCAAAGGATCTTCCCATCTCAGCCTCCTGAGTAGCTGGGACTACAGGAGTGTGTCACCATGCCCAGCTGATTTTTTATTTTCAGTACACACGACATTTTGCCATCTAGATCAGGCTGGTCTCGAACTCCTGGCCATCAGGTGATCTACCCACCTTAGCCTCCCAAAGTGCTAGGATTACCAGCATGAGCCACTGTGCCTGGCAGATTTCTGGTTTTGTTTTTCGTTGAGAATCCATTGCTGGATGAGGATGCACCTATTTGTGATTTTTGTGTTGAGTCTCACTGGAGTCTCTGAACTCAGAACGGGCTAGCCAGGATTAAAGTATACTTTAGAAGCTTGCACTTCATGTTCAGGACTAGTGAGTTTGGAGAAATAATTCCTCTAAAGGAATGTGTGAAATCACCACCATCAGTTTGTGCATTAAGGGAGAATGGACTCTTTGTTGCTGTTTAACAGTCTACAACTTTTTCTGTTCTCTAACCATGTGTGATCTGCTTACTCAACCAGCACATAAACTCATCAAGGGTCAGAAACTCAGCTTCTGCTTTTGGAGGTTTCTAACATTGCCTTCTGTTGCCTTTTAAGCTCTTTGGGACACAGGCTTCTTTGATTATGATATGGACTATCTCCACAAAATTCATATGTCAAAGCCTTAACCACCAAAGTGACTGTATTTGGGGCTGGGGCTTTTGGGAGGAAGTTAAATTTAAGTGAGGTCATACTGTGGCATCCTACTGCGATATGATTATTGCCCTGACAAGAGGAGGAAGAGAAAGGGTGCTCTGTTCTCATGCATCCATGCCAAGGAAAGCCATGTGAGTGCACAGTGAGAAGGTGGCTGTCTGTAAGTTAGGAAACATGTCCTTCCCAAAAGCCAAATCGCCCTGCACCTTGATCTTGGACTTCCCAGCTTCCTGAACTGTGAGAAATACTTTTCTGGTATATAAGGCAACCAAAATACTGCCTTTCTTCATAGGGTTGGTGTGAAGGCCAACTATGGTATCTGTGGTATCTTGTTACAGCAGCTTGAGCAGGAGAAACCATATGAACCCTTTTGCTAGAAAAAAATGCATGTAAACCCATCCACATCACTTTTTTTTTTTTCTTTTCGAGACAGGGTTTTGCTGTGTCGCCCAGGCTGGAGTGCAGTGGCAGGATCACAGCTCACTGCAGCCTCCTCCTCCTGGACTCAAGTAATCGTCCCACCTCAGCAAGCATTCCCACCTGAGTAGCTGGGAGTACAGGCATGCACCATCATGCCTGGCTAATTTTTGTATTTTTATAGAGACGGGGTTTCCCCATGTTGCCAAGGCTAGTATAGAACTTCTGGGGGGCAAGTGGTCCACCCACCTTAGCCTCCCAAAGTGCTGGGATGACAAGTATCAGGCACCTTCATCCAGCCCCACATGGCATTTTGATATAATTCAGAGTAGACCCACCTGATGCTTATTTGTGGGCCATCTGGAAGCCAGTGCTGTGCTCAGGTGGGCTTTACTAAGTATCATCAGTAAGTTCTGGAAGATGAGAGGACACCCAAGACCTAAGGCCTGAGGCCTGAGACGGTGGCCCAGGGTTGGGGAAATCCCCCGGAGTGGGCAACTTCAGATAATTTATTGTGGCCAAGGAAAAGGAAAACATCCCTGGAAAAGTAGACCCTGGGTGCAGGTCCAGCAGCACAAAGCAGACTCACCCAGTGCTTCTGACCAGCAGTTGGAAGGGGCCTTGGGGTGGTGAGGAGGAGGGACCATGGTGACCATGCGGCGTGCTACCTGCTTAGTCAGTGTGGGAGCATCGAGCAGAGTCCAGATCCAGCCTCCTCTTTGCCGTGGCAGAAACTCTGGAAACCCCAGTTATGGAGAGTCTAGCCCCTGATACACCCATAGGTCCTAAAAGACTGGACCGGGTATACCTTGAGGGAATTCATGCACTGGGAGACAGGTGGACTCTCCTGGAGGCATGTATCCAGTCAAGGGCTGCCCAGTGATATGAGGTGACTGCTCTGTTTTCACTAGGTCTAATGATGGCCACACACAAATTGAGGGTGTGCTTGTGTGTGTGGTGGTGCTGGTGGTAATTAGAACTGGTTTGATTTAGCTAAACAATTTATCATTCTTGTTTGTTTTTGAGACGAAGTTGTACTCTGTTGCCCAGGCTGGAGTGCAATGGTGTGATCTTGGCTCACTGCAACCTCTACCTCCCGTGTTCAAGTGATTGTCCTGCCTCGGCCTCCCAGGTAGCTGGGATTACAGGCACTTGCTACCATGCCCAGCTAATTTTTGTGTTTTTAGTAGAGATGGGGTTTCACCATGTTGGCCAGGTTGGTCTCAAGCTTCTAACCTCAGATGATCCGCTTGCCTCAGCCCCCCAAAGTGCTGGGATTACAGGCGTGAGCCACCGCACCCAGCTGGTTTAATTAAACAAATTAGAAGTGTTTAGTCATTGTTGTCTAGGACTTTACATGCTAAAGATTCAGAATATATTGGAATGCATGACATAGAGTATTAATTAGTCTCATTGTTACCTTTCTGTGTCTGTTAATGTGGAAGGCTATGGAGCAAGTCTTTGTGGATAGTAATATTTTCCTTTCATTCCATCATCACAGTAGGCTAAAAAAATGATGAAACGCTTATTCTGCGCCTGAGTGATTTCCCAGCTGATTTTGTGGTCACGGGCTTGAATTTCTAGATAGACTGATTTAAGTGGCAGGAAGTGAATGGGTCACATAGAGCGAGGCTGGAAGGATGGTTGGATTGAAATGAAGTAAGAGTGGAGGGCTAGTAGTGGATCTCTTTCTTGTGTGGCTGCCCAAAGTGATTTTAAACTCTGCCCTATGATGCAGGGAATCACTCTTTTTAAATTGATCTCCATGGCTCAGAGACCGGCTGCCTATCCTGTTCTCAGACGGATGCTTCACTTGCAGAAGACAGAGCCCATAGCCCATGTGAATCCATTCTTATAAAAGCAATCCTCATGGGTTTTCTCTTAAAAGGAAGCCGAAAAAGAAGACAACTGTTTGCTCTGGGCCAAGTAATCCTCTGGAAAAGAACATATTTATGAATTTTGGTTCTTTTGTTTTTAGATCACATGAAGGGATTAAGAGCCCCTGCCTTGAAAAGAAGGCTGGAGTGCAGGTAATTTATTTTGCTACGTGTGTGTGTTTTAGATGGAGTCTTGCTCTGTCACCAAGGCTAGAGTGCAGTGGCATGATCTCGGCTCACTGTAACCTTCGCCTCCCAGGTTCAAGCTATTTCTCCTGCCTCAGCCTTCCAAGTAGCTGGGATTACAGGCACCTGCCACCGCGCCCTACTAATTTTTGTATTTTTAGTGGAGACGGGGTTTTACCATCTTGGCCAGGCCTCTCAAAGTGCTGGATTACAGGTGTGAACCACTGCGCCAGCCATGTATGGTTTTTTTTTGGGGGGGGATGGAGTCTTGCTCTGTCACTCAAGCTGGAGTACAATGGTGCCATCTCGGCCCACTGCAACCCCTGTCTCCCGGGTTCAAGCAATTCCCCTGTCTCAGCCTCCTAAGTAGCTGGGACTACAGGCACATACCACTACACCCAGCTAATTTTTGTATTTTTGGTAGAGATAGGGTTTCATCATGTTGAGTCAGGCTGGTCTCGAGCTCCCGACCTCAGGTGATCCACACGCCTCAGCCTCCCAAATAGCTGAGTGGGATTACAGGCCTCAGCCACCGCGCTGGTCCTGTGTGTGTGTTTTTAAGCAAACATTTTTTTGTGTGTGTGATGGAGTCTCGCTCTGTAGCCCATGCTGGAGTGCAGTGACACAATCTTGGCTCACTGCAACCTCCGCCTTCAGGGTCCCGGTTCAAGCAGTTCTCCTGCCTCAGCCTCCCAAATAGCTGGGATTACAGAGCAAACATTTAAATTAAGAGATAATATCTGTACAGAAAAGTACATACATCTGAGGATATAGTCTTTTACAAAGTGAATGCATTTGTGTAGCTTCACTCAGATTAAGAAATAGAACAGTACCAATATCCCAGACCTTTGCTTCCTCCCCATTCCTTCCCTCCTCCCAAAGGTAACCTCTCTTCTAACTTTTGTCATCATGGATTAGCTTTGGCTGTTTGTGAACTTTATATAAATGGAATCATACCAAATAAAGTCTTTTAAAAAATAGAGATGGAGTTTTGCTATGTCGGCCAGGCTGATCTCGAACTCCTGGCCTCAAGCAATCCTCCTGCCTCAGCCTCCCAAAGGGCTGGAATTACAGATGTGAGTCAGTGGCACTGGCCCCAAATAGACCCTTTTATATTTGTTTTATTTTACCTAACATTATGTTTGTGTGATTCATCTGTGCTGTTGGGTACAGCAATAACTCATTCCTTGTTATTTGTGTAAGAGTATGTGAGAGAGAATGGCTGCTCCATTGTAAAGGGTCATACAGTACTGGGTTTTTTCTTAAAGCTAAACTATTAGAGGCTTTTCTTGCAGCTACTGCCCAAATCTGAATTCCCAGTTCTCAAGATACGTATTTGCAAAGGGCCAGTGGATGTCAGGTTTCTCTGCTAATCAATAACACTAGTCTTTCTTCTTAATAATGATAGCTAATATTTACTGAATACTTAATGTATCTGGGCACTGTGTATTTCTTAGTTCAATTCTTTTTTTTCCTTTTTTTTTTTTTGGAGAGTCAGGGTCTTACCATGTTGCCCAGGCTGGGCTTAAACTCCTGGCTTCAAGTAATCCTCCCATTTTGGCCTCCCAAAGCACTAGGATTATAGACATGAGCCTTTGTGCCTGGCCTATAATTTTTTATTTTATTTTTATTTATTTATTTATTTTTGCGACAGGGTCTTGCTCTGTCTCCCAGGCTGGAGTGCAGTGGCGCGATCTCAACTTACTGCAGCTTCTGCCTTCCGGGTTCAGAGAAAGAGAAAGTAATTCTCTTTCCTCAGCCACCCGAGTAGCTGGGATTAAAGGTGCCTGCCACCACACCCAGCTGCTTTCTGTACTTGGGGCAGAGATAGGTTTTCGCCATGTTGGCCAGGCTGGTCTCAAACTCCTGACTTCAAATAATTGGCCTGCCTCAGCCTCCCAAAGTGTTGGGATGACACGCATTAGACATCTCTATCTCTAGAAGTCTCTTTAGGCCAGGCATGGTGGCTCAGGCTACTCATCCCAGCACTTCGGGAAACGAAGTGGGAGGACGACTTGAGCCTGGGAGTTTGAAACTAACCAGGATGACACAGGGAGACCTTTTCTCTACAGAAACTATGAAAAATTAGCCAGGTGTGGTACGTGTGCTGTAGTCGCAGCTGCTCAGTCTCCTGAGGTGGGAGGATCACTTGCACTCCAGCCTGGGTGACAAAGCGAGCCCCCACTACCCCACCAAAAAGTCTCTTTAGCATGCGTCCATCAGGATAGCGAGATGTGTTAAATGGAGAGCCAGGGTTAAAAAGTATGTGTCCTAAGAGAAAGCCTTGAGGAAGATGCGGTGCCTGGAGATCTAACCTCAAAAGCCATGCAATTACTTCCACCACATTCTATGGGAAAACTGCCCAGGTTCAAGGGGAGGGAACATAGACCCCTCCGGTCAGTGGAGGAATTTTAATATCTATTTTGTAAGGAGAGCATGTATGGATGGGGTATATCATTGTGTGGCCATCTTTGGAAAATTCATTCTGCCATGGACTGTATTCCTAACATCTAAATGATAGCATTACATTTTAAATAATTATGAAATTAATTTCTTTTCATAAAAAAAAAAAGAAAAGAAAGGCTGGGCTTGGTGGCTCACCTCTGTAATTTTATCACTTTGGGAGGCCGAGGCAGGCAGATCACCCAAGGTCAGGCAGGAATTCAAGACCAGCCTGGCTAACATGGTGAAACCTCATCTCAAATACAAAAATTGGCCAGGCATCATGGTACGCACCTGCTAATCAGGTTCCAGCTAATCAGGAGGCTGAGGCAGAAGAATCGCTTGAACCTGGGAGGCAGAGATTACAGTGTGCCGAGATTGCACCATTGCACTCCAGCCTGGGGGACAGAGACTCAGTCCCCCCCAAAAAAAATAGACATGTAGAGTAAAAAGCAGAAGTTTCTGTTCCCAGCACACCTTTTCCAGAGGTAGTGTAATGTGTGGCGTTATCTTTTCAGACACACCTATCACATGCAAGCATGTATTTCTAAGTAACAGTGGTGAGGGATTATTGTTGGAGAGGTCCAGGGAACACATGTCCACTCACACCTTGTGCTCCTGATGGCACTGAAATGGTGGGCATAGGTATGCTGGAAGTGACTCTCACGTATTCTGTGCCAGCATAATTTCTGAATCATTACAGAACACTGATGTATGATGAAGTAGATTTCTGAGTCACAAAAATGGCTCATTTTGGATTGTATTGAAAGTGTTTTCTTTTTTCCTTTCAGCTTGAAGGTTTGCCTATACTGTTCACCTGTGACTAAGGAGTTGCTGTTAACTAGCCCGAAATACAGATTTTGGGAGAAACGAATTGTAAGTTTTCTTTTTCTTTTTTTTTTTTTTCCTTCTTTTTGAGACACAGTCTCGCTCTCTTGCTCAGGCTGGAGTGCAGTGGCCTGATCTCGCCTCACTGCATTCTCTGCCGCCTCGGTTCAAGTGATTCTCCTGCCTCAGCCTCCCAAGTAGCTGGGACTACAGGTGCATGCCACCATGCCTGGCTAATTTTTTGTATTTTTAGTAGAGATGAGGTTTCACCGTGTTAGCCAGGTTGGTCTCGATCTCCTGACCTGAGGATCTGCCCGCCTCGGCCTTCCAAAGTGCTGGGATTACATGTGTGAGCCACTGCGCTTGCCTGAATGGGTAACTTTCTGTTTGGCAGAACAAAATGCATTTGTCTAAGGTGAGGTAGTCAAGGGGAGAAAAAAGTCTGGTGCATAGAAAATGCAAAGAAGGCAGAAAAAGTCCGATTTTTAACAGTAATTTCTATATATAGGAAAGGATTTAATTCTACCTTTGATCAAAAGACAAATTCTCAGTTTAAGTTAAAAAAAAATTAGACAAATCTGGCTGGGCACAGTGGCTCACGCCTGTAATCCCAGTACTTCTGGAGGCTGAGGTGGGCAGATCATCTGAAGTCAGTTGGAAACCAGCCTGGCCAATAGGGTGAAACCCTATTTCTACTAAAAATACAAAAAATTAGCTGGGTGTGGTGGCAGTGCCTGTAATCCCAGCTACTTGGTAGGCTGAGGCAGGAGAATTGCTTGAACCTGGGAGGGAGAGGTTGCAGTGAGAGGAGCTGAGATCACACCATTGCACTCCAGCCTGGGTGACAGAGCAAGACTCCATCTCCAAA